CCAGCGCTTCCTCCAGCCCCTTCCCCCCAACTCAACACTTTCCCAGGTTTCTAGTGAAAAAGAAAATCTAGCTATCCACATTTGGCTGACGTAAACTCTCCAGAATAAATTCACTTATTATTTAGCCAAATAAAATCGTGTATCAGTTCTGCTTATCAGCAGTTTTATTTTCTGGGTAAAGCATGCCAATGATAGCGTCCCCCAAATACACATGATACACCCCCACACACACTTAACGCTGGGAAATGTAACTTCTAGTCAGTTTGTTAGGAAAGTTGAAAAATGAATCTGAAAAGAATAGTACATACACACACAAAAAAAATCCCTGCTTTTAAATGCATTTTTAATCAAATTCCAAGTGATAGCCTCAATTACAGTTACTTTAGAGAAAAGGCATCAGTGGTAAGAAATGCTTGGATTATAGTGTGTTCTTCAGATATTAAAAAAATTAAAACTAATTTAGTTTGAGCATCTACTCTAGCACCCTGAGTTAAAAATATATGGATAACACATAGATTTATGGATTAATTTATCAAGCAGTCTATGTGGAAAGGAGCAAGCATGTTTTAGCTTAATACATTTTCTGATGCATCTAAGTAAAAAAAAATTAATCATTATGGATTTTGCAAAGTGCATTTTTCTTTATCTCTAAGGAGAAAGTGAAACAAGAGACATTCACTGCCTCCCTAGAGATTCTCATAATTTGCAAAGAATATCCTTCTCTGAAGTGCTTACCCCTAAAGGGTCAGCCTGTGCATTTAGTCATTACAGGGAGAATGTTTTGGCCCCTTATGACCACTCATCATTTTTCTGATTAATGCATCAAAAGAGAAGGGGGGGAAGGTTACAAAAAAAACTTTGTTAGGGGCTCCCCATTCCCTACTGTGTTCCTGGGTCACATGAAAGGGCACTGCTACATAAGGGCAAAAAGAAGTAAATTTAACATGAAGCCCACAAGTGTCCTGTGTCATCGCCAGCTGGTTAGTTAGGGGAGAGAAGAATAAGAGGAAAGAATAAAACTAAGCTTTCATGGGATGGGGAATAAGGCTCCTAGAAGTCCATAAAGGGAATAAATCTGGCTATTAGCATAGCATCCAGGTCAGCGCAAGCACAGACGTGGCCTAAGCATCCTACACCAACAATAAATGCTGTCAAGAAAATTATGATGAAATAAACATAATTAATACAAATCAATGAGTGGTGACATATCATTATTGTAAGTTATATTTTTATTGGTCAGGCAGAATGCTTAACAAGAAACCACAATGCCATCTCTAAGCTATTTGTATTTATCTCTAATAACTCAAGCTGCATCCCTACCAGTAGAAAAGTAAACCACTCGATTAAGAACCCTTTTCAGGGACTTGCCTCGTGGCCTAGTGGTTAAGAATCCACCTGCCAATGCAGGGGACACGGGTTAGAGCCCTGGTCCGGGAAGATCCCACATGCCGCGGAGCACTGAAGCCCGTGCAGCACAACTACTGAGCCTGCACTCTAGAGCCCATGCGCCACAACTACTGAGCTCGTGTGCCACAACTACTGAAGCTCGAGCACCTACAGCCCATGCTCCACAAGAAGAGAAGCGACCGCAATGAGAAGCCCGCACACTGCAATGAAAAGTAGCCCCCGCTTGCTGCTAGAGAAAGCCCATGTGCAGCAACGAAGACCCAATGCAGCCAAAAATAAATAAATAAAAAAAATTTTATTTAAAAAAAAATACACCATTTAAAAACAAAGAAACCTTTTCAAGAGAAGAAAGGTATTTAATTACGATCTTGGGACACCTGGGTTATAATCCCAAATGCTGAAGGAAAGGATTAATTAAATCTCGTTATTCACTCAACTTGTACCCTTCTCATTTTACTTGATTTCCTCCTCTTTCCTGTTAGTCTCCACATGTTGCCAAAATGATGCAGAATCCCTGGGGTTTACAATTCTTCGTTCTCTGTAAAGTAAGGGGATTTTTTTTTTTTTCCTGCAGAGATAGGTAAGGTATCAAGAAAGAAGGACAGGTAACCAGGAAGTTATAAGCTATTTTACCTTGCCTATCATTGAGAAAAATCATCTCAATTTGTCATGGTACTGGTACCCTTATTTGTAAAAGGTCCACTTTATAATCTTTGTCTTTCTCTGAAATACTTTAAGTGAATCAGAACTGGGATATATTATATAGATACATATATAGATAGATATGTACTTTTTGTGTGTGTGTGTGTGTGGTACGCGGGCCTCTCACTGTTGTGGCCTCTCCCGTTGCGGAGCACAGGCTCCGGACGCGCAGGCTCAGCGGCCATGGCTCACGGGCCCAGCCGCTCCGCGGCATGTGGGATCTTCCCAGACCAGGGCACGAACCCGTGTCCCATGCATCGGCAGGTGGACTCTCAACCACTGCGCCACCAGGGAAGCCCGATATGTATTTTCTTGAGATATAATTTATACCACACAAGTCACAACTTAAAGTATACAATTCAATGGTTTTTAGTATATTCACAAAGTTGTGCAATCATCACCACAATCAATTTTAGAACAGAGACATGGCTTCTAAATCCTCTAATTCATTATACAGAGAGAAAACTAACATCCAGATGGGTTAAGTCACGTTCCCCAGGTCACAGAGCTAGTCAGTGGCAGGGCCAGTCCTGGATCCCTGGGAAGTATTAAGCCATTGACATCATCCAGACTCCCTTTCCCCTGCCTAGGAAAGTTCTTCATGAATTAAAAACTGCTGTGAAAATGTTGTCTGAGAAGAACATCTGGCATTTTTTTTTATTGTGCTCCCTCTTATTATATTAAGCCTGGTCTAATTTCTCCACCAAATCTGTCATATTGCAAGATTTCTGAGAAAGACCCCCAGAACAGATAAAAATGTATCTATTGGGCACTTTGACCACAAAATGAAGCCCAGAGAAAATCTGTGATGTCTTTCTTTTCAGATAAAGTCACAAAGGATTTCAGTTCACACCAAAAAAAGGCTAAATTAGACCTTCTGCTCATTTCTTTTTTAATGGGCTGATTATGGGTAGTTAAACTAAATGACCTCATCACTAGCACATTATTTCACCAATGCCAATAACTTCCTGGGATTTCAACCATTCACTCTGGTTAGTGGTTAGAAACCAATTTCAATCATCCAAGAGCTGTGTCTTGCTCATCTCTGAGATATGCTCCCATGAAGTCCATATCCAAAAAAAGAATATTTTTCAAAAGAGCTTAGTTCCTTGCAAGTGCTAAGTAAGCCAGCAAGTACGCTGACACTGCCCTGACCACAGCTGCACTCGCCTCCAGGCTGCCCACCCCTCAGTACTGAGCTCACAGCAGCACTTGCTGACTGTTCCCACCTTTAAATGCACCCACCTCTCTAGGTTTCCATGACACTCCACTCTCCTGCGTTGTACTAGTTCTCTCTCTCCTTCCTGTGCTCCTCCATCCCAAAAGTTTCACTTATTTAATAAATATTTATTGAGTGGTTACTGTTTATCAAGTCCTGGCCTAAACATTGCCCCTAAATGTTGGTGCTCCCTTCAGTCTATGTGCAGCTCACTGTGCATTTTCTCACTTTTATTTGCACTTACATTTTTAAATCTCCATTTAGGCTGGAAATCCCCCCAAACTCTGTAGTTCCAGTCTTGGCCTCACCCACTGGCTCCCAGGCCAATGACATCTGAATGTCTCACAAACCTCTCAAAGTGCTCAAATCCCACAGTGAATCCACCATCGCCCTGGTCACCTAATTGGCTCCTCAGCCAGGACTCCTTATCACCCCAATAGTACTGTCCACCCCAATAGCACTGTCCACCCAGTGCCCCCAGCTGGAAACTGAGCACCACCCAGTTTCTTCATGGAAGGGATGCAAGTGAGGGAACAGCACTGAGACCGACAGAAGAGAATCCTCCAATTCCAGCTGCATTTCAGGGACCAATTTGTGGAAGAAGCAGGATGAGACCTCATCTGAAATGTGAATTCTGAATCAAATCTGTAGAACAGATCCAGCAGTGCAGGTGTGGGATAGATTTTACAATGTCAGCTCTGCCATAGCTAGAAGAAACTGAAATCTTAGAATACAAATTTGCTTGTCGACACACACACACACACACACACACACACCCCAACTCCATGCCGCCCTGCGGGTTTTCCTGTTTCCTCCGCTTAGAACTCCTATCCTTTCCACCCACACCCCCTACCACAATTCCTCCTCATACTTAATTCACAAATGACGCGACTCTTCCTCCGGGAAGCTCTCCCTGATGCCCCTACTGTATTATCTGGCATCCCCTGTGCGTGGAGGTGTGTCTAACACTATTTGTTTACGTGTCTGTCTCAGTGTCTCCCCACCAGACTGGCGGCTCTTTGCGAGCAGGAGCCTGGCGCCCAACCCCGGGCCGACACCAGGAAGACGGTGGGGAGAGGAAGGACTGCTGTGTAGCGTCCCAGCCCGGGAGCCGGACGCAGTCGGGCGGGGTCCATTTCGAGGCGCGCGCTGGGAGCGCTGCGGGACGCGCTGCGGGGCCCAGCCGAGCGCCAAGTACACAGCATCCCGGGATCCGCCGACGCCCGCGCGGCCGCCCCCAAGCGGCAGGACATGCCCCGCGGGCTCCCAACCAAACGGGAGGGAGGCCCGGCCGGCACCGCACTCTCTGTGGTCCACCTCCCGGCGCGGGTTCAGTAGAGGCACCAAGCGGAGCCTCCAGGCCTCGGGACGCCCACTCTCTCTCCTGTGCCCGAAACCCCGCGGCCCGCCACCTCTGTGCTCTCCTCCGCAGAACCTCTCAGAATTACAGTGGCTCGGGGTGGAGCTGGGGGCCGGGGGCTGGGAAGGAGGAGGCGCCAAGGAGCGGAGGAGAGAGCAGGCGGCCCCTCACTCCACCTCCGCGCCCGCCTAGGCGGGAAGAAATGGAGCCCTAAGAGAGGCCCCTAAGGGCGCCAGAGCCCCAAAGGCCCCGGAGCCTCGAAGGGCCCGCAGCTCCCTAGTCCCCCTCCCTCTCGCCTCTATGCCTCCCTACCTGGCTGGCTTTGTGGAACTGCTTCTTCAGCCCCGCCACCGACATCTCGACGGCGCCCGGCCGGGGCTGGATGGTCTCTGGGCTCTGCCGGGCCACGCGGCCGCGACACGCTTGGGAAGCGGGCGCCGGGGCCGGTCCCCGCGCGGCTGGGCTCCCCGGGCCAGCCTCCCACGGCCACGGCCACAGCCACAGCCGCTGTCACACTCGCACACACGCGCACACGCTGATGGCAACACTGCGTTCCAAAGCCCCTGCGCAGCCCATTGGCCAAGCCGCGGCGGTATGCAAATGAGGCCGCTGGGGCCGCCCACGCTTCATTGTTGCGTGGAGACCCGGGAAGACTGGAGCTGCTGGGAAAATGGGCCTGGGAGGCTGGGCGTGGGGATGTCCTGGGGTCCGGAGAGCAGAGCCACACAGGGCTGCTTGCTGGGCGTTGGACGGGATGCATGTGGCATTACGATTGCCCTGGATGGGGAGAGAGAGATCACCTTTCTATGCTTCTGGGACTTGGTGCGAAACCTGCTTTTGCTCATAGGCAATATCGCCTCCCTCAGGCGCATTTTCGGTAGGTTTCTGGTTTTTAAAAGCGACGCTCCGAAATACGCCTAAGTGGGGAGAAATGGAACGGGACGGAGGACCTGCAGTAGGAGGAATTAGTCTGTGGGCGGCTGGTCTGTCTCTTCTTAACCCCACTCGGTACTCTGCGTACAATCTGGTCCTCTAGGAGCCCAAGAGTTATTGGGTAATTTGTTAAATACCACGCTCGCCTCCACAGAGCGCTGAGCCCACTGTCAACTGTATTAAGAGCAGCTATCTCCAAGGAGCCTTAAACAGCTCGCTCTGTATCCAGGGGAATTCACCGGAGGACGAACCCAGCTCCCTCGGTAACTCCTACCAGTTGTGTCAGTTACAGAGTGTCCTTTTTCAGAGAGACCGGAGCGCCCATGTGCGCGGAGGTCCAGCCAGGGGTCTGGAGCATCCCACTGATCTTCATGTCAGAGCTGTGCCCAACAGGTCAGCATCTAAGCGGAATCTGGCCTCCAAAAGTCCTTAGGGCTCCCGAAAGACCTAGAACCCACTCTTAGCAACGCTTAACACTGAAAGATACAACCCTCTTCCTCCTCCAGTCTTCACCTAAAAGAAAGAAGCTCCTCTCTCTGGACCCTCCACAGATCCCATCTGGGATGACCAAGAGCCCCGGTTTACACCTGTTCCCTGGCGTCCACTCCTGGCATCCTGAATTTCTCCAGGATGAAAGTCACATGGGCTCTCCTTTGCCATTAGCTCCCAACTCCCTTATCCCTGACTTCATCCTAGTGAGGACTGGGCTGGTAACTACATCTCCCTGTGCCTGTTTCCTCACTTTCCTTTTAGAGGGTGCGAACAGGAGCATTCTTCCTCTGATATGGGAGAAAACAAGGAACTTAGTGAAGAAGATAAAGGCGGCCATCCAGAGGATTAATTAGTATGACTTGCATGAGTGCTGTGGGCTTGACTGGCCTACATACAGCTGACATCAGCCACAGATAGGTAACTAGAAGGTATGAGGGTGGTAACAGCTAGGTCCAAATAGCATAGCAAGATGACCTGTCCACACAACAGGCTGAACCCCACTCAACGGCAGGCTCTGCCCCAGAGGAACTGCTACTAAGGCGGGGCGGCTGGGGGCCGGGCCATCTGGAAGGGGCTCACCTGCCTTCTTTCTCTGTGTCCAAGAGTAGTCTAAGTAGAACAGATTTGAAGGGACTTCTCCCTAAATGAGTCTGACTCTGTGCCCTTTGGGAAAGGGGGTGATTTATTTAAAACTTTTTGGCCTTTTTTCCTTGGTTGATAGCATATTCCAATTCAGTTAATTCTGGTAATTTATCTCTTCATTTAATCAAGTATAGAATTATAAGTGTATTCTCATCATTTTTTTAATGTCAGAATCGTTCATGTACGTTTTTCCTTCATAAAAGTATTTGTGATTTTTCTTAATTTTTTCTGTGATAAGACTCAGAGGTTTGCCAATTTTGTTGGTCGTTTAAAACAGTTCTTGGGACTTTCCTGGAGGTTTAGTGGTTAAGACTCTGCGCTTCCACTGCAGGGGGCACAGGTTCCATCCCTGGTCAGGGAACTAAGATCCCGCATGCCACACAGTGCAGCCAAAATAAATAAATAAATAATAAAATTCTTTTTTCAGTTCTTGAGTTTATTCATCATTGCTATAGATTTTTTTTCTCTCATTAATTTCTATCTTTATTATACATTCCTTCCTTCTGTTTTGTTCAGGAGATTGAAGTTATTCACAACAGAAACTGATCCTAAGCTGGAAAAGAATGTATTGGAGAAGGATTATCAGGCAGCCCAGAGGTTCAGGGGACGTAGGGAACCAGGTTGGGGGGGGATGAGCAGGAACTAGGAATCTGAGTGGTCAGATCTCCAGCATGTCCAGGGGCGCTTGTTGGGATGTGCTGGTTCCACCACATGTTCAGGCTGTGGCTACCAGAAAGAAGGCTAAGCTGTTTCTGCTTCTTTCAGGCACTCACTCCAGATTCAAAGTTCCAGGGGGCAGCATCTGATGACTTAAGTCTAGATGTTATGCCCCGGCTCTAGAGTCTAAGACCCACACCATGGTGTATTTCCCCAATATAGGAAGAAGCTTCAGATGCCAGGTAGCCAAAAAAGGTATCTACAAACAACAGCAACACGAATGCCCACGAATGTTTATCTGGGAACTCCTTAATCCTTTCAGTTGAATGTGTTTTATTTATTTTTATACTTTCTTGTTTTATAATCAACACATGTAAAACTATGAATTTTCCTCCTGAGTACGGCTTTGGTTTCACACTTTGTTTTCATTATGTAGTATAGTTCTTCTGATTGTGTTTTAAATAAATTTTTAATTGCAATTATAAAGAGGAAATAACTCTTTGATCCAAATGTTATTCAAGACAATTTTTTAAATCTTTTCTAGGTGGTTTGATTTCTATTATTCATGATATATGAAATTTGAGACTTGTGGTACTATTGTCAAATAACATGTCTTGAAGGTTTTTTTTAACATAGTCTATTATGTTTCATTTTATAAATGTACCACAGAGGTTTGAAATAATGTGTATTCTCAGTTTCTAGGATACAGTTTTTCAGTTCATGGGTAACAGGAGCATGTGTTCTACCAAAGCTCTTAGCTCAGAGGGAGATTTCAAAGACGTGCTAGCTGGAGCCACATTGGCCAGTTCAAGGCTTGCCTTTTACATCACCATCACCCCTCCAGGACCCAAGGGCCCATAGCTCCTCGATCTGTTTAGGGAAGGAGTATACAAATGTCTTGGGCTATCTGACAGAGTTGTCTACATGGTATGAAACCAATGGGAGAGTCCTGAAGCACAAACAAGCATCACCCTAAACTGAAGGATCTTTGGGCACTTGGTGGTCTTCAAGGTAAATGAAAAGAGGGATGCTGTGGTTGTCTCTGGCACTCTGGACAGATGACCCATGTTCTGGCAGAGGCTTGGGTGTTCTCCTATGTTCCTTTCCTTGTAGTCCTTGGCTCTCCCCTCCACTTTCCCTTCCCTGGTCCACAGAGTACTATGCTAATGTGCATTCACATCTGTCTGTCTTGTGGTCGGGCCAGCTTTTGAATCTAGTATTTGCAGCTCTTGTGTCTGGTCCTGGCATGAGTGTCACATTTCTCAGTGTGGGCAGGAGCAGAAGAGCCTTGGGCAGGGGACTGAGGGGGAGAGAAGCCTACTGATTAATGTCTCCGAATATTATCCCATCATGTATCTCATAAGTCAAGTCTTCTGAGCTTATTGTTCAAATGCTCTGTGTCCTGACTTCTTCTACTTCGCTTACCAGAGACTGAGAGAAGTCGTCTACAGTCTCTTGTTACAATTATAATTATGTCTGTTGTGCCTTCATTTGGGAGTTTGCCTTTAAATATTTTAGGGCTGTCATATTTTGCCTGTGTTTGTGACTGCCATATCTTCCTTGTGGATTGGAATTTTATCCATATAAAATAACATATCTGTCCTACAGATATGTTATTTTACTGTTTTACTTTGTCACATGTAATTTTTTTGTATCCCCACATTTTGTTTGTATGTGCTTCATATGACCTAATTGGTCCTTTTCCTCCTGTCTCTTCTTTTTTCCAGCTTTATTGAGATTAATTAACATACGTGTCATATTACATAAGTTTAAGGTGTACTGTGTGATTTGATACACATATATATTGCAAAATGATCACACAGTAAGGTTAGTTAACACCTCCATCCCCTCATTTGTCTTTCTTTTTTCTTTTTCTTTTTTTTTTTTTTTTTTTTGGTGACATGAGAACATTTAAGATCTACTCTCTCAGAAACTTTAAGTATACATCCTTTACTTTTGACCTTTCATTTCGTTTGGCATGTGCTCTTATAAAGAGAATAAAATTTAATTTTGTTTGTGGGCCAAAATATGTTTTAAATGTATTTTCCTAGAGAGATTTAAAGCATTCATATTTATTATGAAAAGGATATATTTGGTCCTAGTTTTGTCATTTTATGGCATGTTATCTGGGGTTTTTCTTCCCCCTTCAAATAGCTCCTTCTATCACTAGTATCTATTTGCTTCAAAGGTTTTCTTTGCTTTTTCTTCCCCTCTACTTTTGTGAGTTATGTACCCAATTTTTACCCACTAGCAGTTATCATTGTTCTATAAAATATTTGACCTTATATTGTCTATCAACATCAATAATTAAACGTTGTAGGGAAGCCATAGCATGATTAGAATGAGCAGCGGCCAGGGCGCATGGACTAGGGCCACCTCGTCACCTCCTTCAACTTAAACCAGATCATGCTCTAGCCCCAGCCAGCTGAAAAGCCTCCAGCAAAGACCAGAGTGGGTCCAGTTTCCTTTGTCTGATACAGAAAAAGAACCAGTTTGAGACTAGGATGCAGGGTGTTGGTTTTAAGCCAGGGAGGCAAAGATGGACAGAAAACAAACAGAAATTTTGAGATAAAAGAAGAGCGAAATTATTTTAAATTCAAAATAAAAGTTTTCACAAGTATATATTTTCCATGATACAATAACACCTAGAATTTGAAACTATCAAAAAGTCAAAAGGAGGAAATTTTACCTTTGGAATCACCATTGAAACAACTGCTCTTAATATTTTTTTTTTACAGCCTTTTTCCCATGCAAAATTTAAACACAGCAGGGTCATGCCTATGCGTACTACTTTATTTTCTTTATTCTCTTAATTACATGAGCATTTTCTATACTGTCTAGTCTTCACACACATTATTTTCATGACAACTTAATAACCAATTATGTAGACATGTCAAATTATATTTGATCATTTTCTATTACTACTCACTTAAAGGATTTTTCCCCAAAATTTTTCATCACTTAAATAACGCTACATTAAACATCTTTTTCCATATTAGGATTTCTTTCTGTATTTAAGAATAGTTCCTTAGAATGGATTCCCAGATGTGAAATTAGTGCATCAAAGACTTGAACAGTTCTAAGTGCAATTGCCATTTATGTAGCGTAGTTATAATTGCTCCCACCCTCCATGGTCATTAGAGGAAAATCTTATAAGAAGGGAGGGGGTGTCAAAGAGACATAGATCTACATCTTCCATTTGCCTTGAATTCCATGACTTTAAGCCTGTGGCCTGATATAAGCTCCAGATTGCAGTTCTTGGCAGTCTTTGGAGAGCTGAGTTCAAATACTGACGTCTTAAATAATCCTAAAATGTTAGTTTAACCATGGCCTCTCAATTTCCAGCTTTACTCTTTTTTTTTTTTTTCTTGAAAAAAACCTCTCACCCAGACTCCTTTCTGGGGAGGCACTCTGGGTTACTCATGCGTGAAAGGGTGGAGCTCTGGCCCATTATGTGGCAGTGGTGCATTATGCCAAGTATTTAGATAGACCAGACCTAGAAGCATTCCTTCCCTCAATTTAAAATCTCCACATACCTGGTTGCGCAGAAAGTTGCGAGCATGGCTATTATTTTGCATTCCTCGTAACTTCACAGGCCTTTTATTTTGCACATCTGGGAAAGATGTGTGCCCATCGATGAGGTAACAGAGCAGACATGATGAATCCCAGATGCTGAACATGGCAATTTGCCTTGAACTTGCAAGATCACAACTGGGAACAAATGTATAGATTTTCTTCACTTATTGTTTTACATGAAGCTGATGGAAAATCAATTGATGGGTTCCAGAAAAGGCCAGAGAAATCTTTCCATTTTAAAATGTAGAGGAAAAACACTGAAGTATTTTTGTGTGTTTAAAAATGAGGATTGGGCAAAGGGCTACAATAAGCACACAGTGAAAGTAAATATAATTAACTGGTGAATTAATGTCTTTCATAGTTATACACAATGCATGACTCCATTGTTCTGTACTCTAAAAATGTTCAGTTAGAATTCTGGGTCATGGTGTAATGCTAATTAGAATTTGTTAATTGCATAGGTGCAGTTTTCATTTTCACATTTTACCCCAGAAGATTTACTTTTAAACAAACGCCAGGGATGAGGAATTAGTGAGTGGTGACCTCATGGCTTTTGTAAACTACTGCTGCCACCTTGTGGTGCTTCTGAGAAGTGGCAGAGGTAAACCTTTAGGAACCGTAAGTTTATCAGACAGTGGTCAGTTGCATGTCATTTACTTATAATTTCAAAGTTTTTTAAGAGCACACTAGCACCTCTAGTCTTGTCACAGAAGCTCATCTGAATGGTGTTGAGTGCAAAATGTTGCTGCAGTTTGGATACCCTGAGATCCTGGATCGCTTCTGGGACTTTGGCTAATCAAGGGTTCTCTTGCAGTTCTTACTGTGTAAGAATCTCAAGAAGAGCTGTTCTGTCACTAAAACTTTAACCAGAGAGGTAGGAGGAGAATAAATAGAGAATGATGGTCATGGTACTAAAGGAGGAA